CCGCTCGTCCCCACCCCGGCCCGGGTCCACTACCGTCCCCTAGCACTCCGCCATCACTCCCCTCTCCCCCGTATCTCTAAACCCAGTCTGGGCACCAAAGTCCCCGCCCCCTCTCGCTGCCAAGAGCAATTCTTAACCTTTTTTGGGCCGGGGACCTACAAAAAGCTATGGACCCTCTCCGGATGGGGACAGAGGTTGGGAGAAGAAAACAGCTTGACAGCTTTGCGAAATTTTCAAAAGACTGTGGATCTGAAACGCACCCCGAACTTCCAGATTAAGAACCCCATCTCTAAGACTCTTGACTTAGGGCGATCAGATCGAGAGTGGAACTCAGATATCACATTTCGTCCCCAGTGAGAAACTGTAGGAGGGGGAAGGCGCTCCGGCCCTGGGCCACTTTCACTTGTAAGAAACCAAACGAAGGGGAGAGACAGGGACAGAAATTCGTAAAGGGGGAAAGAGAAGAGGGAGAGGGCTGTTATGAAGACAAGGAGACAGAAGGGAGGAAAGAGAAAAGGGAAAGGAGAAATAGGGCAAACAGGGGCACAGTGGGAGGGGAGGCGACACCGCGTTGAGAGAACCGGGACAGGGCGGCACAGAGAGGCGAGGGCGAGGAAGGGAAAAGAGAGCTTCTGAAGGGAGAGAGCGAGCAGAGGGAGGAGAGGAGGAGAGGAGAGGGGTCCAGAGGCAGAAACTGAGAGCGCCGGGAAAGGGAGAGAACTTTCTCTGCTCTCCCTCCCCAGGGCAGGGAGTCTCAGAAAAGCCGATCTCCACGAGGTGGCGGGGAGCGCGAGCGGCCGGCCCCGAGCTCCGGGCGCCTCTGGCGTCCGCCTCCTGCAGCCCGCGGCCGGCTGCGAGACTCGCACGGGCAGCCGAGGAGGGGACTCCGTCTAGGAGGCGGTCCCCACTCGCTTCGCTTTCTCCTCCCCTCTCCTCCTGGAGGCGGGCACCCGGGGTATTTGAGCGGCGGAGGACCCGCGGCCCCCCCGCCTCCGCCCCCCAGCCCCCCATTCAAGAAGCCGCTCCGCTATCCCCCGCAGCACAGGGCGCCCGGCGCGCCTCGGAGCGCACGTTCCGCGCCTTCTCCTGCCGGCTCCCTGGACATTATGCGGCCGAGCAGCCGAGCCCCAGTCCTCCTCCTCCTCCGGCTCCTCCTGCGGCCCGAGCGGCTCAGCTCTCGGCAGGCGGCGGCGTTGCTCAGCCGAGCGCAGACGGGACCCTCGCGGCGAGACCTCAGCGACTCCTGAAGTCAAAAGTTGGCGGCGGGCGCCGGGCTCCGCGCGCTCACCGCGGCCGCTGCCTCGCGTCGCCGCCGCAGCCAAGCAGGGCAGGAGGGAGGGGGGGGGTGGGAGCCACGGGGGAGGGGTGGGGAGCACCATGCAGTTTGTATCCTGGGCCACACTGCTAACGTTCCTGGTGCGGGACCTGGCCGAGATGGGGAGCCCAGACGCCGCGGCGGCCGTGCGCAAGGACAGGCTGCACCCGAGGCAAGGTAATGAGGCTCCGGCCACCGCGACCCCTCCGCCCCAGTCGCCACCTCCCCAGCTTCTGCGTCCCACAGCGGGCACCCCGCAGCGGAGGCCTCTCTCCTTTTCCTAGAAAGAATTATCTCCGGCCGTACAGCCTCTCCCTTCTTTAGGTCACTCCCAGTCAATTTCTAGAGAGAGCCGCTGTAGAACAAACTTCGTCTCCTCCACCCCTCTTTGCCTGTAGTTTGATCTTTCCCCTTCCCCACCTCCATGCCCCAAACTATAGTTACTTAGTAACTGGGGGTAGCAGATAGTGGCATGTTTTATTTTACTCAAGGTATTTGTCCGAATCTGAAATTATCTTAATGTATTTTTGACTTGTTCACTGTCTGCTTCCGAACGGTGTATCCTCAGAGTCTAGCATAGTTCCTGGCCGTTCCTGGCACATAGTAGGTGCTCAGTAAAGATTTGTGCATTGGCTGAGGGTGAAGGCATTGACTCAAACGGGCAAAAATAACTGTTGGAAAATAACCCAGGACAGAGCCCCCTTCATTTTAAATTAAAACGCGGGAAATTGGCTTGCGGAAAATGGAATTATTGGTTCATGTGTCTCTGCTTTTCCCTGCAGTGAAATTATTAGAGACCCTGAGCGAATACGAAATCGCGTCTCCCATCCGAGTGAACGCTCTCGGAGAACCCTTTTCCACGAACGTGCACTTCAAAAGAAGGCGACGGAGCATTAACGCTGCCTCTGACCCCTGGCCTGCCTTCGCTTCCTCTACCTCTTCCCAGGAGCATTACCGCCTCTCTGCCTTTGGCCAGCAATTTCTATTTAATCTCACTGCCCATGCCGGATTTATCGCTCCAAGGTTCACTGTCACCCTCCTCGGGACGCCCGGGGAGAATGAGACAAAATTTTATTCCGAGGAGGAAGCGGAACTCAAGCATTGCTTCTACAAAGGCCATGTCAATACCAAGTCCGAGCACACGGCGGTCATCAGTCTCTGCTCAGGAATGGTGAGTTGGTGTGTGCCCCCACCCCACCGCTCCCCTCCCGCCTCTTCACCCGTTTCTGGAAGGCTTAATTAATTGCTCTCTAGCCTAGGACCCTCACTCGCGCCGAGTTTCCATCCTGGCTTTAAATATCCGCTAGAAACTCCTTTGCATCCTGAGGTTTGGATGACAAGCCCAGTGCGTGTGCTTACTCTAGAGAAGCGCACACGCATCCGCCCCCAGGGGGTTCGGTATGTTTCGGAGCTTTCTAGAGTCCGAACTCGGCTCCACTGCGCTTTGCCCAACGCTAGTAGGCAGCTTGGAAGTCGGCTTCCAAATTCCCAGAGTTGTCCTTCCTTGCAGCAAACCCTGCTGCCCAGGAGCGGAGCAGCTGAGCGCAGGGAGGACCCGATTCCTTACTGGCGCGTCTTGAGACAGGGCTGTGGGATGAGGATCCCCAGCCTCTGGTATGGGGAGTTCCTTCTGTGTGTCGTGGAGGGCGGTGCGTAATCTAGAGTCCCGGCGATTTCTCTGGGCCTTTTTTCACGCGCCAGAAACCCCGAGGCTCAACAGGATTGACAGGGAACAGGTCAGTCCCAGGAACGGAAGGGTGGGCCGAGGGCTCCGGGGGCGGGGAAGAGGGCGGAGCCTGCCCCGGACGCTTTGAATTAGGGTAGAAACTGGGAGTGGGGGTGTGGCGCAGTCCGACTCTGCACCCTGCTGGCGGGGTGGCCCCAAGAAACAGAAATAGTGGGGGAGAGGCTGGAGAAGCCGCGCGTACGAGATTTCGGTACTTCTGGGTTTTCTGCCACGCACAGGGGCTCCAGAGAATCGAAATACAGGTCCTACAACGCACGTTTCCCTGGAGAGAGAGGGCGAGTAGGGGCGGGCTGGCCACCTCCCTGCACTGCAAAATACGCACTTAGCAGGTTTTCCGAGCGGATACCTTGACCCCCTCCTGACCTCCCCCTCCCCACTCGCTCTCCACTTGGTCCCAGATGGCATCCGCTTTTTACCCCCCACCCCCACATTTGAAGACCTGCTCTAAAGTTCTGGCTGGAGGGAAAGTGGTCCTTGACTTTCCCAAACGATGTGCGTTCCTGCCAGGAACGTGTGACGCAGAAACTTTCCTGGGTCAGGTTCTCCCAGCGCAACGCGATGTGTGCACTGCGCCCTGGTGATGCGTTTACTCTTCCCCCGAGGACCCACATTCCCCCGTCAACTTCTGTAAGGGGAAGCACAGATACTTACCCGGGGCACTCGGTTGCCCCTTCCGCGTGCGCTGTTGGTGGTGGATTCAGTGTCCCCGGTCTGGATGTCGCATCCATCTCCACTATTCTACGGAAGGGTCGGAAGGGTCCGGTGGGGAGCGAGGCAAGCCTGAAGACTGGGACGGGGAAGGTTTTAGCCTGCTGGGATACGGGAATGGGGATTAGCCTCTCCAGCCCCCAGCAAAGCGCCCGGAGCTGTGGCTCGCTGTTGAGCTTGTTTGGGGGTGGGCGGAGACGGCAGTTTGACGCACGGGGGGGTAAGGGGGTGCTGCAGTGAGTCATTGCTGCCCCAAGACCTAGGGCCAAAGCGCAGGAATCCTTCCATTCTTCAAAAGGTTGTGGCCAGGGTGGGCATAAGTCAGGCACTGGACCCCAGGTCATCAAAGCGCCCCTAGATCCGAAGATTATAAACCCCAATTCCAGAACCTTACGGATGGGGCAGGGACTGTACATAAAGTTTGTAAACAACCTTTACTCCTCCTCCCTCCCCGCCTCCACACCCTGCTGAGTGGCCCCAGCAGTTGTATAAATACTTTGCTGCGCAGGACCTTGATTTCAGTTGGCAATTTTAGGTGGTAACTCACGCGTGGATCTGCAAGTGGTAACTCTCTTGGGAACTGAGGGCCAGGACTTCAGAAATGATTGTATAGACCGTGATAACCCCCTTCGTATTGCATTTAATTGGCAATCTGCCTCTTCCGGGAGGGAAAGGTCCAGAATACATCTTAAAGATAAGTGCACTAGGTGTCTCTATCTTCAGCGATTAATCTAGCCCCCAAACCCTCATTCCCTTTGTCTTCCTTCTGGAATTTTTCTTTCTTCCCAGGACTTCCCATTACCATTTCTATACCAGTAATATCAGGACGTACCTAGTGCCCCCCACCCAGGAAATCTTTCACTCTATAGAGTGAATCTAAAAATGCCAATCTACCCCCCCCAACACACACATACACCCTCCCCCACCAGTTATCATTTTCCCTGAGTTGGATCTTAGCTGTGTCTCTCACCTGGTCTGAACCAGCTCTACCCTAATTCTCGACCTCTTTTACTTCTCTGCTCGTCTCTTATTTAGTACTGTTGTCTAAGAAATATTTCCATCTGGCTTTTCCTCCTTCAGTCTTCCTCTCTAATCCCTGCCACACACCGCTAACAGATTAAGGATGACTAGGTGCAAGGTCACATTACTTCCCTGTTCACTCACCTTACCTAGTACTAGTAGCTCCCCACTGCTTAGAGAACAACTACTAACCCCTTCCTCTGACAATTCAGGCCATTTATGATGTGCCTTCTCATGCCTTGCACACCCACATGCCACGCTCTTCTCTCAGGCTTTCGCTCCACCAATCCTGTGTATCAGTCCAGCTGCTTTTGTTCTTTCTCTGAATTTCCCTCCCATCCCAGTCCTACCTCATTGCCTTTGGGCCTTTGGGTTTACTTGGTCATCTCCCCCAGCATCACATGCTCCAATCCTACCCCTCTTTTAAAGTGTAACTTACATAGCTTCTTCCCCAGGAAAACTTGTCCTTCAGACTGCTCTCATCTCTCCTCCTTCACAGACATTTGTCTGTATCTTTCTTATGAGGCTTAGTATGCTCTCTCTTGTATTACAGTTATTGGTACACACGATCTATCCCTCTCCTTGGCAGCAGGGTCAGCATCATTTCTCTCCCATGTTGGAGTCTTGTGTATTGTACTTAGTACCTATGTTGGAATAAATGGTCGCTGTAACCAAGAAAAGATGACTCTTTGATCAAACATCCATTAAACATCAAACTTGTGTTCTGTGAATCGACAACAAAATTAATTGGGCATCATACAGATAACATTTCTTAGACTCTTATTATGCATCTTGCACTACAAAAAGTACTTTTTGTGTGCATTATCTCATCGCATCCAAATCCTCACAACAGCCCAATCCTCAAAACAACCCATTTTACAGATGAGGAAGGACACTGAGGCTTGGAGAGTCAGAGGCTTGCTCGAGGTCTCCTAACTAGTAAGTGGCAGAGTTGGGGTTCCCACACTGTCTTTTTGACCCATGCCCCTAACCGTGGGCCAGAGACTGGATCTGTGTTCCTACAGAGACCTTTGACGTTCTTTTTTAAAAAGGTACTGGACTAAAGTCAGGATACCTGAGTTCTAGATTCAGTACTGGCACCATTCAGCTGCTTCTGTATCACTGAAGAGGAACTTTGGACAAGTCACTTCCTCCCTTTGGGCCTTAGTTTCCCCTTTTGCTAAATAAAGGTGCCAGATCACCCCCAGAGGAGCTCCCAGGTTCTTCCCCAGTGTTTCGGGCCTGTCTCTGGTAGATTTCACGTGTACTAAGCTTCCTGCTCTGTGCTCACAGAACACCAGAGTTGTATATTTAAAACAGAGAGAAGTGCCTGTACGAGAATAAATGGGTTAAACCACTTCTTCTCTGGGGAAACCAGCTATTCTTAGTGTGACAACACCAGAGCTGTCCTCCCTTTAAGCCAGCAGCTCATGAATCACGCGGAAGGCTTTTTTAAAAATATAGATTCTAGACCTCACCCCTGGAAATTCCAGATCTGCAGGTATGGGGTAATGCCACAGATCTCGTTTTTTTTAAGTCCCCAGGCAATTTTGAAGTTTAGATAGGTTTGGAAACCCCAGTGTCTCAGCCTCGTGCTTCCCAAACTTTATTGTGCATGAGAATACCTTGGAGTGCTCATTAAAGTTCAGCTCTGGCGGCCGTACCCACAGAGATTTTGATTCAGTAGATCAAATTTAGGGTGCAGCGTGATTATTTGAATTTCTAACAAACTCCTAAGTGTTGCTGATACAACTCTGGTGTTCAAGGACAGTCACATCCATTGTGTCTAAGGGAAGGTAGAAGCGCTCTGCTTTTTTTACAGCCCCATTGAGGAGCTTGATTTCTTCCTTTAAAGACTGCCCACTGCATTGCATGGGCAACTTTTTAGTGCTCTTGGATGTGTGGTTTGGGTGGTTCAACCCTGAGGCATTGTTTACCATTTGCAGAACTTGTGGGTATGTGGGAAGGGCGGAAGGAGTTACCCATTTCAAGGTGCTTACACACATTGTATCCTGGTGGTTAGAGACTAAGACAGCAACACAGAAAGCCACTAAGGTGTTCTAATCCCTTACAGAGTGTCACTTTGCTAAGCACTTTCCAAGCAGTATCTCATTTAGTCTGCACAATAAGCCTTTACATTAAGTACTTTTGTCCCCAGTTGACAAACAAGGAAGCCAAAGCTCAGAGCAGTTAAGGAACTTGCCCAAGGTGGGTGGGTAAGTGCCAGGCAGGGCTGGGACTGGAACGTAGGGCAGCCCGATTCCAAGCCTTGTACCATTTCACTCCCTATTGCAAAGGGAAGGGGTGTGCAGAGACTCATGTATCAGTGTCACAGGTGGGACTACCTGGAGTGCCTGTGGTCGGTCTATGCTTTCTGAATTTGAATTAATAATAAGGCTTCCACGGGTCAGCTTTCCCCTCTGGAGGTCACACTAGTCCCTAAGTTTCCAGGCTATCTTCACATGCAGAAACACTCTCTTGGAACAGCCTGTGAAAGTGAGTATGATTGGGACACCTGGGTGGCTCAGTCCTTAAGCGTCTGCCTTCGGCTCAGGTCATGATCCCAGGGTCCTGGGATCGAGCCCCGCATCGGGCTCCCTGCCCTTCGGGAAGCCTGCTTCTCCCTCTCCCACTCCCCCTGTTTGTGTTCCCTCTCTTGCTCTGTCTCTGTCTGCCAAATAAATAAATAAAATCTTTTTTTTAAAAAAAGAAAGTGAATATGATTAGAATTTGGGCACCAAGGAAGGATTTCTTAGAGACAGATTTGCATAGCAGGTATAATAAACTAGAGTCAAATCAAGGAGAAGGTACTGACCTGGCAGAGTGAAAATAAACCGCTTCTCCGAATAGGTGGGCAGCGAGTTCAGTTTCAGCAGCCCTCATGGGGAAGGGCTTGGGGGAAATGCTACCCTCTCTCCTTGGCAATGTTCCATTTTTTTCCCCTCCCTGCGGTTGAGTTCTGTGAAATCAACCTCTCATCTCTCTTCATTTGCAGCTGGGCACATTCCGGTCCCACGATGGGGATTATTTTATTGAACCACTACTGTCCATTGACGAGCAAGTGGATGCAGAGGAACAGAACAAACCGCACATCGTCTATCGGCACAGCACCCTGCACAGAGGGCCCTCAATGGGAAGGCATGCGTGTGACACCTCAGGTATTTCCTTCCTGCTCAAGCAGAGCCCCCAGCTCTGTGAGATGGGTCAGTGGCAAGACTACAAAGATATACCTCTTTCACATGCTGCCAAGTGCTACCGTTTGCATTGTCTTTTACTCAGTCTTCAAGCGAGGTAGGTATTCCCCATGGCACGGATGTGGAAGCTACAGAGAGTGTAGTAACTTGTCCAAGGTTGCACAGCTAAGAACCAGGAAAGCCCCGACAGGAGCTCATCTGGCTCCAGGCTCACTGTGGGCAAAGCTGCCTTTTGTTGAAGTTGCAGATTTTTTTTGGATTTGGCTTTCGTAGTGTCTTCCGGCTCTCCCAGCCCTGTCCTCAGTCAGCAATGGCTTGTGTTCCCTGGATGTCTTGGTGTTTTCTATTCACTTGGGTTGTTTTTTTTGTTTTGTTTTTTACCATGTAAGGTTATGAAAAAGTGAAAAAGTCTCATAAATGGAACTCAAAAAAATTTCTTTGTGTTCATTGGGGTTTTTCCTATCAACATGAGTTTTAGCTGTTGTTCTAGGGCTTCAGGAAACAGTAGAATAGAAGTTGTGGATTGTGCTGTCAGGTTTCAGTCAAATGCGTCTGTGCCCACCCCTGGCTTTCCTTCCACGCTGGACACATTCCTTGAGGCTTTGTGCTGACACGTCTGGCCATTGTCAGGGCTATGTCATTCTGGGCCCCTCCGAAAGCTTATGCTTGTGTATGTTTCTCAATCTACAGCCTTGAGGCAACCTTCCACTGTCTTTGAAGCCTGGTTACTTTCTCTCTGATGATGGCTTGACACTAGAAAGTGTCCCTCAATTTGGTCCTGTTTTAGGATGTTTGTTAGAATACTTTTTTTTTTTTTTATTCTTAAACTTTCTGTTTCTAAAACTTTGTACTTCTCCCTAGTCGGTAATTTTAAACGTTGCTTCTCCGAATTAGGTAACTTTTCAGGGTCTTTCTGGCATCTCCAAATAAGACCCGAATTCCAAACCAGCAGAGGGTTTCCTAAAATGCTTCCCAAATGATCACTTGTTTCATCTTATATCTGTATCAGGTTCTTCATCTGTGACAGACTGTCGTATCCTATTCCCTCCTGGAATTATTTCTGAATAAGGAAAGGTAACATTGGCTGCTCATAATCTGGAATAGTCAGATCAGAGGGTTTAGCATTGTAGCCCATCTAGCGCTGAGTTCCTCCTCCCAGGACTAAATGGAATATAACTGAAATATGATGTCAGTTAGACTCACTAAAGAGCCAGGGGGTGAGATGGGGGGCAGGGGGAGCAGTGTACTCAGAAACCATAGTCCCAGGGGCTGGCATGGCACCAAGACTGCCAGCTACCAGTCAGTGTGACAGCAAGATGTGTACCGCATTTTTTTGGACCATGCTAGTGAGAAAATTGTCCTTTCCTTCTTGACTTCCCAAATCTGAATTAGCAAATGCTCATTTTATATATGTGGGTAAACCTACATATAGCATGTGATAGAAAGGAAACGTGATTGCTCCCCTTCTATCTTATTAATATACATTCAGAAGATACTCCAGTAGTATGTTCATTGGTCAATTTATTGAACTACAGCACTTTGTGATAATCTTTTGCCCTAAAGTGGTAGCAAACCAACATTTTTTTTTTTTTTAAACTGCCATTTGTTAAGGTCCTACTTTATACTGGCAAAGCGCAAAGCACTTTACCTACAGGACTTTACGGGATCCTTACCACAACCCTGTGGACCATTCTTAGCCCCATTGAACCTGGCAGGGGAGCAGAGATGAAGCAACTTGCCCCAGACCTCCCAGCTACTCCATAATGACAGCCCATGTTTGTCTTATCCCATGATCCATTTTCTCTGTGCAGGTGTGATGTGTATGTGTGTGTGTGCGTTGGGTGTGACAGCGAAGGAGAGAGAAGTCTTACTTAATGCTCTCATTCAAAAAGTCCTTAAAGTTCTTTTTTTTTTTTAATTAATTACCTAAGTCAATCGACATTTGATTTTCTGGGCTAGAGGGTGGGTCATTGTCAAGTCCTGTTAAAAACACAAAGAAGAGGGACTCTGAAAAGGTGAAGATGGAGGACAACAGAAGATGGCTTAATTTTTCAAAAAAGTTATTTGGGTTCCAGTCCTTCTTGGTATTGGGGCCTTTATGTGCCACTGTCGAAGTCACTCGTGCCAACTCTCAGTTTTCCTTCAGGTGTGTCCTTGCCAGTGACCAGTATGGCTGCCCTTCCTTCACCCCATGTGATTAATCAGGAGCTGGCAGTCTTGATTGGCTCTTCCAAAGGTTGCTGCTGGACTCTGCCACTCTGGTTTCTCTCTTCCAGCTGCTTCTGCACCCCTTCTTTGAATACAGATGCAGGAGGCTCAGAACAGTTGGAAAGAACTTTGGAATATGGCACAATTCACCAGCAGCCATTACAGGGATGGACCAGCAGGTCACGGAAACATCCGAAACCAGGTAGCCTGTGCACAGGGAGTGAAAGTAGGTGGGGTGGGGGGGTGGGGGTAGGGGGTGCGGGCAGAAGTCCCTCTGGCCAGAGCAGAAAATATCCTCTACAAATATTAATCCAGTCAGCTTCAGGGATTTCCCCCCAGAGCAGTGGTTGGTAGCCAAGGGTAAACTTTAGAAGTATCCTGGGAACTTCTTACAAATACAGGTTCTTTAAACACACACACACACACACACACACACACACACAACCTTCCTCTCAGGCTAGCGAGAATGAGCAAGAATCAGTGGGTTTACTGAGTGTTCCACTTAACCCAGAAGTTCAGCTAAATGTGAGAGTCCCTGCTAATGTAGGATTTAAGGCAATAACCACTATCCTTGGCTTGCCGCTTGCTTTGCGTTCTTCATCACTGTTTTCTATGTCTTATAGACTGACAGAAGATTTTCTGGAGGAAACTGTAGTAGTTAGCTCTAGGCCAACAGGCTCATTCTGTACAGATGAGCAAACTATAGTCCTGGGACGTTAAGTTACTTATTTCCAGGAGTGATCAGCTATATACACAACACCAACCCATCAGAATTTAAGATTGCCCTCGCCTTGGAGCAGGCCCCTGCAAGTCCACTACTGAGCTGAGTATGACCCTTAGCTGCTGGAAAATGGGATCCTGCCCAGCACTAGGCACTATGGCTGTTACGCTCTTGCCTACTGATGGATTGAGTCCTGCTCATTTCTGATTCTTGATGTATGTCTGATTTTCAAAAACAGATTCTGAGATAATTTACATTAAAACAACACGTGCAGAAGGAGTCTTATGTAGTGAAAATTGCGTGGGTTTAGAAGGGAGTCAACAACTTAATTTATTCATTCATATGTGCATTCAGCCGTAGCTTATTTCCAAACTCCTCTGTGCCGTGAGGATAAAACCAGGAACCATCTTTATTCCCGTCAGCTGTGTGACCTCAAGCACATTTAGAGCATAAAGTAAGAATAACACATACCTTTCAAGGGTGTAGTTAGGACCAAATGAGTATGAAATAATGAAAGCTCCCAGGACAGTGTTTAGCAGATGGTAGACAATCACTGAATGGGAGATTAAAAAGAAGAGTCATGAAAATAGAAATTGAAACAACACAGCAAGGAAAGGAAAACTCAATGCCAAAACCCAAAGCTGATCGGGTTCCTGTGCTTAGCTTAGAGCTTCTTGGTAACCAGGTCATAAAGGGCTTATGGGACTTGCCCAAGGTCACCCTGCCAGCAAGTGAGGGGGCGGAGAGCCGCCTTCTCTTTGCTTATTTTCTCTGTACCTAATGCAGCACTTTTTTTTAAAGATTCTATCTATTTATTTGACAGAGAGAGAGAGAGAGGTCACAAGTAGGCCAACAGGCAGGCAGAGGGGGAGAGAGAAGCAGGCTCCCCACCGAGCAGGGAGCCTGATGAGGGGTTCGATCCCAGGACACTGGGATCATGACCTGAGCTGAAGGCAGACGCTTAACTGACTGAGCCACCCAGGCGCCGTCATTGTGCAGTATTTTAAAAAATTCATTTCTTGCGAGTTTCTCTTGGCCCAATGGCTGCCCTTCCTACAGCGTCTCTGTTTTGCCATCGTTGGTTACGTCTGGGTGTGTACGTTTGGGTCAGTTGAGTGGATCTGCATTTGTTTGTGATTTTCATCCTGTTTGTAAGTTCCTCAGGATTCAGGATGGGGTGTGGGGTATCTTCTCTTTCCTGCAGCATGCCCTTGCTACTCCTGTGTCCCCTACACAGTGGGTCCTCAGTAGAGTTCATTGAGCTGCCTTGCCTGCCTGCCCCCCACCCCAGGGGGGCGAAGTGGCTAGCGCAGTGGAGCCATTCAGGAGAGTTTATTGCTTTTATAAGCCACTTCCTGCTAATCCTTCACATTGCATTTCCAGATGAAACCTCAAGTTCTGTCTCACAGACACTCTGTTTGACCCTGAATTTTGCACAAGAGGATTTAGTTGTTCTTATCAGTGAGATAGACATGCTTCCTGGTAGGTGAGAGAGAGAAAGGCAGGGGGGAAAAGGCCAACAGAAGGCTATTTTGTTTGTCTGGGCCTAAAAGACTGTCTTTTTCCATTACTAGAATGTTTCTCTCACCCTCCCATCTCAGCAAGACCTGCTGGTTTTTGTTTTATTTAAGGCATTTAAGAATTAAGTACTTGTTGACCCATCGATGCCACTTCTAAAGAAATAATTGGACAATTGTGTAAAGACGTTTGTGTGAGAATACTCAGTATGGTGGTGTTTATTATAGCAAAAGGCTGGAAACAACCTAGGTGTTCTTCAGTAGGAGGATAGACCAATGATTTATGAGGGATACATTTGATGGATTCCTATGCAGCCATCAAAAATGATCATACACATTTATGTTAACACGGACGTGTGTGTGTGTGTATATATATATATATATATGTATATACACATCTTAAGCAAACAAGCAAGTCATGAACAAGTGTATATGGTATGATCTCATTTTTTAAAAATGATAGCTGTGTGGTGGTACATGTGTGTTTAAAGAAAAAATATGAAGCAATATGTATAGAA